TAAAAAACCCCTAAAATAAGTATTATAAAAAAAATTTATTTATTTTTTTTAATTTTTATTTTTTTAACCTTAATTTCTAAAATATTTAACTTAATATAAATTTTTTTTTTTTTTTTTTTTTTTTTTTTTTTTTTTTTTTTTTTTTTTTGCTAGGGTAGCGTATGTATGTGCTGCTGCCGTATGCACAACACGGACTCTCTCTCTCTCTCTATCTCCCTCTCCTATAATAGCATAATAGCCTTCAACACATTAGGTCATTCATTGCTTCTTAAGAAGATGGACGTAAGTCTCGAATCACTATATCAAATGCTGACTGAATTCCGTTAACTTACTACCCTTGTGTGAGGTTCAATGCGTTTGTACCAGCCCATTTCTACTGTCCTGTAAGACGAACATGCATATCTCAAGGTTTTTTTCCTTTCCATTTTTTTCAACACCCTGCTTTATCGTCGCCGCTGGAGCAGCACGTCGCAAATAGCCAAATGTGGCTGAATGACCTAGCGGAGGCGAAGAAAGAAGCAAGATTTCTTTGCGAACTTCTCTGCACGTCAAAGCCTAGGGAACCAGTTTCTTTTCAGTTAACTATAACTTACCAGCCTAGGTACTCAACTACCTTAGCTGCTACCAACGAGACTACATAGTAAGTAGGTAGTTATCATTCAATAATCCTTGGCAGACTCACACCTGCGTGTACGTATGCAAGAAGCCAGGGGTTAGAAAATTGGGGCTTGCTCATGTGGTCTACTCAGACTTTAAGGCGGACAGTTAGGGCGCTAAACAAGACTCGGCAACCGAAGGTACATACATAGTACAGAGCAGGAGTCGAAGAAGAAAAAAAAAGGGAGACAGATTTCGATTCTGCAGGGTCAGAGATGGGGTCCCTGAAATATTCAACCAGCCAGCAGCATTCTTAATAATCTTTCCCTTCTACGAAGTATTTATGGCTTCTACGGCTTACATATCCACTAAGAGGGGCCGACAATCTGGATAACTGGCTGGTATTCTGTCACATGATGTTATTAGCTTCTTTTATTTTCCTCTCTCTCCTTACATATAAGCTTGACAACCGAATTATGAGGTATGCTGGTACCGGTTAAGCACGTCGATACCTTTATAGGGATCACGCCTACGGGTCTTGTGTATGTTAAGGTTATGTCCACAGGTGTTGCCTTATAATACACGTATAATGTGAGGTGTATAGGTAATACATGCTGACTTTGTGCTGTTTTTCCAACATCTAGGTATACATAGTCTTTGGAAGGAATACCGTGCGATATACCATCAAGCGTGGTTGTCTTTAAGCCATTGAACAACCGCCGATTGTATCACATATACATTTGTGTGTAACTGAGCGTTGAAGTTACAGATTCGCTCAAGTTTCACCATGAGGAAAGACTCCGAAATAGTATCTCGAAAGAAATAAGCTCGGAAATATACCAGAGCTATTACACCTTTTCCGGGCGCACGAAATCACCTTTGCTACTACTATTACAGGTAGTTAACTATGTAGTTATCTCTAATAATAATACATGCCTATTATATGATAGGTACCTGTTTATTGACTTACATTATAAGCAGGCTACATCATAAGGTGGTGGTCCTTTTATGTGACCTTGTAAGGAGATCTCCCCCCCCCCCCCCTGGCTCACCACCCCTCGTCCTCCTTTTAATTCTCCTGGATCTCCCACAAATTCCTTGGTTTCCCAGCTTTTTGAATTCCTACTGCCCCGCACTTGGACTATCTTGGGATGTTTCCACGAATCCACGCAGAAACCCCATACCCACCACATTTCTTAGGTGCCTCCCAAGTATGTAAACAAATTTTTTTCTCCTTTCATGTTTCGTTACTTCATCATCCGTATAAACAGCAGAATGTAAATTCAATCCAAATCCCTTGATAACAATAATATCGCAAAGCTAAATTCTATCATTCTCCCGGTTAGTTATCTGAAAACCCCGAATTGGCATCCGTCTGGATGCACATAGAAAGGTCGCTTTTTGCATGCAAGCAGTGTCAACTTACATATTAACAAGCTCTCTGGGCGAATGAAAATATCCCTGTTCACACAGCCCAATACAAATACATCATGAGACTTTTTTTTCTGCGAGACAACGTCAGAACTTACATAGTAGGAGTTTTACTCTGCTTTTACATATTAGTGCCGGCCAATTGATCCGTTCGCTCCACCCTGCATCGTGCTGTTGGCATATACGGACCATCGTTTACCATCAAGATTGCCCCTAGCTCTTTAATCCAAGCTTTCCCGCCAGTGGTTGGTGAACAATTGGTCATAGCAAGCAGCAATGGGTTTTGAAGGAGAGAAGAAGAAAAAAAATCCATAATCCATAATCCGTAATCCATAATTCACAGCTAGTTGATGGGCGCCGCCAGGAACAAGACCAACCAACCGCGTGGACTGGTCGAACTTGGCCTGCAACGCACACATGTCGCACTTAGCATCAGTACGTACATACATAGTAACTCACTTACATCTCCATACCTACGTCCCCAGTGGGGAAGTGGGCATCAGTGTGGACATGCAAGAAGATACACGACAAGGTCTGGTCCGTGGATTCCAGGGCTAGGGTGGGTTCCTATTCTGGATACCCTTACAATTGGGAGGTCATGAGACCTTCAATTCGGAGCTAACCACAAACTTTGAAATTTAAGTTGTGCGGAAGACTCCTCCGTCTCCTGGAGGTAGCCGACAGGCGAGTCAATGAACAATCGGCGTCATAGGTGCCCTATTCTAACCTTAGACCCGTCTAGTCCCTTGTCCTCCCTTGTCCCTCCCCTGTCCTCCTTTGTCCTGGCACCACTCCCACTACCAATCAACCTTCGTCACACACCCCTTACCCAGCTGCAAGTCACCAAAGATTTTGAACACCATTGTCCGGCGGATAGGGATAGGA